CCCCCCCCCGCGAAAAGCCGTTATCGGATAGCAGGGGCTTCGGAATCGAAGGATGCGAACCGCTGTTGTTGTTGTCGCCGTTCTCCGAAGGCTTTCCATAGTTGGTGCCGTTTTGGGCGGTTTCTGACTGATGGTACTCTGGCGGCGCGTGGTCTTGTTGAGATGGGTCGTAGGGAGGGAGGGGAGGGAGGGGAGGGGTTGAATCGACGGCGTCCATGGAGATAGGGTTAGGGTTTTAACCTGAGCGGATGAAGAACTGCACCACGAAGAGTCGAGAGAGAAAGAATGAATGAAAATCGAGATTGTGATGAGTTATGGAGTGTCCACGTGACCCACTCGCTTTATATAGGTCACGCGAGTTGGATTCGGAGTCCGGGTACGGGAAACCCGGATCCGGTATTACGTAACGCAAATCTAAAACCTTCCACCACGAGACTCTTTTGGGAAAGGGGATCATTTGGATTTTGGACAGGGATATAATAAAATTGTATAATATAATTTATTTCATTGCAATATAAGAATATCCGAATGCTATTCAAGTAGACAATAAGAGTTGATAGATAAAAATCATAAAATGGAGGGTATCTCCGGTTGATTACAAATTATTTTTTTTAATTCTCTATCCAAAATTAATATAATAAAAAAATTAATAAAAAAATCATTCTAAAATTCTTCTAAATTTATATATGAATATACTGCCTCCTAGTAATAAATACAAAGCTTGCAATTGGGGCTGATGACCAGCACAAACTAAAATTTGATTATTACATTATACAAGACTGCAAACTGATTTTCTTTTTCTTTCTTCGTTGCCACCACTAAGTCAACATGCAATGAAATTGGCCCTCTTTTTACAATTCACTCATCCAATATTCCTTCCTACTAATAATTTCACGCATCTTTCATTTAAAAGCACATTATAAATTTTCTATAAGTTTGTACCTCTTTGCGACATTAAATTGGCCGTTTCAATTTTCTCCTCTTCCAATCACGCTTTTTAAATGTGATGTAAAAACCAAAATTTGTTCACCATTTGAAGCTTTTGATAATTCCATGATTTGGCATTATTTACAATGAAATATTAAAGTCTATTTAATGATTAAAGTTTTTCTACGAATATTACATTATCTTTTATTTTCTTCTATTTTCACTAATAATTACAAAAAATTACAACATTCTAATTTTAATAATCTATAAAAATGATGAGCACATCGTTTATTATCTAAATCCTTCAAAATAAGTGGTGAAAATGTTATAACATTTTGTAATTACCAATGAGAACACAAATGAAATCTAAATTCGCCCTTTTCTTTTCTCATTTCATTTTCTTTTCTTTTAAGCCCATGCATAAGAATGGTGAAAATGTTATAACATTTTGTAATTACCAATTATAACACAAATGAAATCTAAATTCTCCCTTTTCTTTTCTCATTTCATTTTCTTTTCTTTTAAGCCCATGCATAATAATGTCGTATTTTCGCTAACTAGAAAGACTTCATACATATCCCCCAAATTAGCAGAATGCAAAACAGATAATTTAACCATTGACAAGGTCAAAAAACTGAGTCAATCAAGTCTAATTTATAAATTATAGGGACAAACACAACGTTAGATAGTCTTGCGAATGGTATGTCAATTATGTACACATCTTAAAAGGAAATTTGTTCAACATCCTCATAGTCATGACCACAATTTACATGACATGTACACCAACTGTGTAACAATCAAAGATTATACGCAGATAAATACAGAAAGATATGTGCTTGGGATAAACGAAAACCAACAATGGACAACATCCCGAGTTATACTTGAACAAGCAGCTCCCATCTGAAAATTTCAAAGAATACAAATCATCACAATGACTAATGTCTCTCACGAAAAGACCATATTCTGTATGACACGGTTCAACTACCAACGTCCTATTAAAACCACAAAATGTAAAATCACAATGTTCAACTCATTGTGGTAACAAGATGCAAGCTTGTAAAATTTAATCATCATGAATCCCCATTTTGATACCATAATGAGACTTTATTGTAAGAAATAATAAATTAAATGGCATCTATGAATGAAAAAAAGTACTCCTTGAAAAAGCATTACCAATAGTAAGAGAGACATGACTGCAGATAGAAACTAGGTAGAATGTATTGCCATTTACATGACTTGGCATGGGACACCATCACTTTATGAAACATTTATTTAACAATATTAATAATAAGAAATTTAAATGATAAACAAAATATAAATAATAATCACAATTACCTTATTCAATTACTGGTGCTACCAAGATCAAAGTCCATGGTGTAATCATACTCAATTGTTGGAATTACAGAAGCCATAAATTTTAGGAATAAGAACAAGTACCTGCAGAAATAAATATATGAGATTATATCACCTCAGACACACATAGATAGATGAGTTATTAGAAACAGTTATTGCACTTTAGACTCATGAACTAGAAGATGGGGGGGTAAAGTCCATATCCAAAGGCTATGTATTTGTAAAGCAAATTGGTATGAAATATCATTGATGCCACAGCATGAGTTATGGTAGTCATATCTAATCAGAGACAATGTCAATTTATATCATATAGATGAATTGTTTCTCGGAATGAAAGCAATATCTTAGGAAGAAAGAGTTTACTTGTCAACTTCAGGCTCAACTCCACGCGACATCAGTACGTCAATGATTTTCTTCATTACTGCTCCATGCCGACATGGATGAATAGATGCATGCTTCCCAGGCAAGTGAGGATGGTCCTCAATCGTTACCTGCAACATTTTTAGTCAGAAAAAAAAATATATATTTATGAGAATCGGACTAAGAGAGCCTTTTTATGTGAGAATGACTGAGATAAATATTAACTATTAGATATAACCATGAATGGACAAGATTAAAATGCAAAAATTGTGTAGTTTTTTTCTAAAGTCTTATTTAGTTGAATGGTTAAGATCTACATTCTACACCTCCCTCACTAAATACATCTCATATATATATATATATATATATGTCTCTGTCATATCTCACCGTTTTGCGTGCATGGTCTTGACTAACATCTTCAAGGACAAGTTCAGGTTGCAAAAGCATTCTTGACTGCCACAAGATCCAACATGAAATCACTAAATGAGTAACAAGTTTCCAAGGTATAGAAATGGAAATGATGAAAAGCTTAAATGAAAATATAATATAAGAAAAAACTTGTTTTCCAAGTTTGGCAACAATGTCAGAGATGGATTCATTTTTGCAGTGGCAATACTTATTCATAAAACTAGGAAGAAGGAAGAATACATTCACTATCCTTCATCCATGTGTTAACAATCAGTATTTTTTTTTTCTTTTTTTGGTTAGACACATCATGTATTATACGCTAGTTTAAATTCTTAATGCTAATTCTAGTTCTAGTAGCTTTGCCATAGCCCTAAAGACTGATCAAAAGTGACTAAATTATAGTTACAAGGATCAAGTGAATAAAACAAACCTCATCATATCCAGTAAGCCATACTCGTGGTGTTTGATAATATTTATCATAACTGCAAAATGAGCAAGGTTCACTTTTTAAAATCGCTGTCTGAAAACTATTTCTTTCAACTATGAAGTAGATTATTTTATATTTTATGGATGGAGTGGGGAGTGGGGGAGACAGAAAACCACGGCAAAGAAAAGAGGTGAAATACAACAATCAAAGGATAAGATATCGTCCAAAATAGAAAATTATACCACTTCCAGTGGTCCTGTCCACAGAAACTTTTGAAAATGATTACTACGTTTGATGATATGCTTCACTTTTATAATTCATAAAAGTTTATGAATGTCTAAAACTTTCTACATAGCAATTTTGTTGAAGTAGCCATAATCAGGACATCAAACAGAGGCCATAGACATAATCCTATGTTATAACAAGTTTAGGGCAAAAAGAGACACCCTCAAAGATGCAAGAACTACACTTCAACAACTTGCATTATATATATTGGAGTCATAAAAAATTTGCCACATAGAGGGAGAGATCCAATAAACCTAGCCGAGAATTCAAAGTAGAGTAGAATGCATAAAATGACAATCATGGAAATTTCTATTGAAAATCATCTTACGTAATGCTGACATCATAAGTTCGTGTTCGTAGAATATTATCATCATCAGGCTCCTGGGCGACTAGATATGTGGACTGAAGAGTAGCCTCAAATTAGCATGAGAACAAATAAAAGACATGAATAACATTTCTTAAATAAGTATCAAATAAATAGAAGGAATCGGTAGAAGTACATTGCTAAAAATAAATAAATAAAACTAATGGAAAATTTATAAAATATTATTACAAATTATGTAAGCAATAAAAACTAAAACCCTCAGGTGCATTATGGCCTATCTACTTATACATTAGAAGTGGGATGAGAATAGGTCAAACTGCCCGCCAACACCCATGTAGGTCAAACCAGCGTTTTTCTAAGAAATAAACTAGGTCAAGACTTTCCTAAAAGCATATTTGGTTATAAAAAAAATTAAAATTAAAAAAAAAAA